GGGGGGAGGAAAATGGCAACAAATAAGCTGATCGTCCAGGAAAAGCCATCGACAGCAAACATGTGTTTCCCTTCTTGAATACTTTTTCATACAAACACCTTGTGAACCAAAATGTTCTGTATGTTGATGATGGATTTTTAAGTGTAGTCTTTCGTAACATGTTTATTAGCTATCGTACTTTTTTTTTACGTATTTAGTTGTCATAATTGGTGAATTGTATATGGATTTTTAAGTGTAGTATTTCTTAACATGTTTATTAGCTATCATGCTTTGTTTTTACGTATTTAGTTGTCATAATTGGTGAATTGTATGATGTATCAGTATTTTTTCTTAATGGCTTGCCTCGGTTTTCTAAGGCAGTCATGTCCCCTCACGCTATGGCAACTAAGAGGATTATCACATTGCCTTGCAGCTTGCCTTTTAAGTTTTAACCAGTGTTATCAATTCATGTTCATGGAAATAAGGTGGGTTCATGCTAAATTGGAAAGTGTCTTTTAAAAAAAAAATTGTTAGTTTCAATTTGTAGGGATTATTTGTAGTTTGGTACCATGAGCCGATTGTGCATCGCACAGTCTCCAGGCTGCTAGTATATGTATAACAGAGAATCAGGGTGTGTTTGTTTATAATTTTTTTTTTAATTTATACTCACTTCATGCTCAAAATCTTACTCAATTTTAACGTAACCATAAAATTTTCAATATTATCAATATAATTAAATAATATCAATCAATCATTTTTACATGTCACATCAACTTTAATTCACTATTCATCGTCTCACATAATTTTAACTAAACATCACATCACATCATCGCTCTCATACTTTTACATCAAATCAACTTTAATTATTTTATTTTAAATATTATTTTAATATAAACTCAAAATTCCACTAACAACTAATCACACTACATTTTTCAAAATTAGCCCTAGTTAATTAAAAAAAAAAAAAAATTAGCGAATATATTGATATAAAAAATGGTCTATTATGCTATTTGATTTTAAAAATATGCTGCATGTGGGTCGTTTGGTAACCCTACATATTATCCTTAGCCCAATTACGTTCGCTTGATCATATGTTCTACCAATAATAAATAACAGGCCTCATTTACTGAATTGCATACACTAAGTTTCCTATTGCCATGCACAAAGGACTGCCTCAGTGTCATGCATGCCACGAATGAGCTTTATGACAGTGCCTAGACGCGAAGCTCGGAATAATCGCAACATTCCTTTTCTTGTGATCATTTGAACTTAAGATCATGTGTCGATTCATTTGAAATAAATATCATTTTTAAACGAATACATACTAATTTCTATTACTTTATAATATAATTTATAGTTTTATTTGATATAATTTATTAGTTTGATAAATAAATTTAAATTTTATCTATAAGGATATATATTACTGTTTTGTACCTATTCATAGATAAAAGTATTTTATATCCTTATGATTAATGTATTACTAATAGGCCTAATTCATAGATAAAAGTATTTCATATATATATATAAATAAATAGTAAAAATACAAACGGACTTCATAATATCAATTAAAATGCAACACACTAATTAAAAATTTTTTTCTTGACAATATTAACCCTTTAATGGATGTTATGAGAAACGATGGACATGAGATATGAAGACACACTGTGTATTAGATGGATGGTTAAAATAGAAAAATATGAACAAAATATCTAAAACGACATTTATTTTATCAATGATCAATTAAACCAAAGAGACAAATAATAAAATAGGAGGGAGTATATATATTATTATATATTTTAGTATGACACATGTTACTTGTGCGACTTATACGTGTTATATTATAATAAATTTTCTACCTTATAACCTATAACTACATTAAACATAAATATATTAATTGATAAATAATTTTATTTTCTAACTAATTTTAATAAATAATTTTATTATTGTTATAAAGATAAATATAATTTATTTATTTTATATATACAATATGGATGTCAAATCGAAGCTCATCAAAAGATGATTAATTTGAGATATTATATATGTGACCCATAGAGGAGAAAATAAGGGAATCACGATTAAAATGGTTTAGGCATGTGCTTAGGAGAGACTTCGAGGCCCCGGTGAGAAGGGTAGAAACATTAGAATTAAGAATGCACATTAAAAGAGGGAGAAGTAGACCTAAGAAAACTTGGAAGGAGACGATAAAAAATGATTTAAAATATTTAAATTTGAATGAGGACATGTGTTTTTTTCGAGCACGATGACGACATGTGATCCATATATCCGACCTCACTTCGCGGGATTTTAACAACTTATTCATTAATTGATTGTATTTGCAATTTTATCATGCATATTCAAACAATATTTTCTACAAAAGAAAAACCTATTAAATAGTCGTTTTCTTGAAGACATGTAGAAAATCACGGTATATGGTTGATTACCAAATGAATAATAAATTGCAATAATTCGTAACTAATATAAAGAATCATATTTTCATTGTGTTAATTATCCCAAAATAAATTTTAAATGCGATACCACTTTACTTATATAGAAGTCATACTACTAATTGAATTGCACGATTTGCAACATGTAGGTATAATATAATTTAATTTTTTCAAAACTATGGAAGTAATATTTACCGTATTTTCTTTAATAGCAAGTCAATTAATTTAATTACAAAGTCAAAATTATTATTTTAAAATATTCCAACAACCTCATTGAGGAGAAATAATTTTAAAATATTTTAAAATTATTATTTTAAAATAATTTAATTTTATATTCGAGATAGGGTTCGCCCCCAATTCAGGAGAAATTGGTGCAACATCGGCTGAGGTGGTTCGGACATGTCCAACGGAGGCCTCCTGATGCACCGGTGCGTAGGGGATAGACATGGCCACCGGGTCGCCCGGCCCGCCGACCCGGCACTGACCCGGCATAGACCCGGTCCGGTCAAACCTGTTGACCACGGGTCCAGGACCGGACCGGATTTCAAACGGGCCGTGTAAGGGTCCTGTTTTTTCGCCATTGACTCGGCGGTCCGGGCTAGGTCCGGTGCGGCACGAAAAAAAATCAAAGGTTTGGAATTTTCTTTTTTTCTCTTATTTTTTAAGAACGGGCCAGACCCGGGTTGGGCCCGGCCCGGCCCGCCGGGCCATGGACCCGACACGGACCTAGGCCGTGCCAGTTCAGGGTCAGTATAACCCAACCCGTCGGTCCGTTGGGCTGGGCCGGGCCCAGGCCCGGCCTGAGTTTTGGCTATGTCTAGTAGGGAAGTTCTACAGCGGGTCGATGATGTTAAGAGAGGTAGAGGTCAGACTAAACTCACTTGAGAAGAGTCGGTTAAGAGAGACCTTAGAGATTGGAGTATCTCCAAGGATTTAGCGGTGGATAGGAGCGCTTGGAGGCTAGCAATCAACGTGCCAGAACCGTGACTTTTGCCCCTTTCTCTTTTGCTCCAATCTCTTCCTTTTGTTTTGAGCCCTTTTTTTGTTTCTCTTACCATTGGTTTCCTTTGGGTTTCATCTCTAGCATACCCCAACTTACTTGGGACTAAAAGGCTATGTTGTTGTTGTTGTTGTATTCCAACAACCTCATTCAA